CTTGATTTTGTATTCAATCTCATTATCTTACAATAGCACATTTAAAATAAACTCCTGCCCTTAAGTGCCTCCAGGTGGCTTCTTTTCTCCTGCCTCAAGCCATGTCTCCTCCATCGCATACGCTTATTGTAAAATAATAATTACAGATCGTGTATTTTAATAATAAATGTTAAAAAAAAAAAAAAAAAATCATTATAGATTTGAAATATAATTTTATAGTTATTCACTATTATTACTCATAATGCTATTAACTAATCAATATAATATTTAATATGTTTAACGCGAAAGTAATTTTTGATTTGAAATTTCTTTATTATTTGAATGATAGCTTTTTAAGTTCATGCATGTTCCACGCCTACCAAATCAAGCCTACAAAAAACTAACCATGGCTAATGAGCTAGCTGTCGAAGCCTGAAAGAATAATAAAAAAAAAACAAATACTTTAAGTTTGCAACACTGTTATCTGTTAGGTTAGGTTAACTCTAATCACACCAAGTCAAATTAGTTAACTTTTTTGCCACTAGGGGGCGCTGCTGTAGTTAGGATCGGTGTGTGGGGCCCGTGGTCCATTTATTACTTATATAGTGGTTAAAAACAGTAATACTACAATGTTACAAACATATTTATCTAATACGTGGATATATTTTTTTTAAAGCTTCTTCGTTAAAAGTACTTCTCCAAGATAGGTCAAATTTAAATTTCCAAAGCCTGCAATAATTAATAAATAACCATGTCAATAAATATTTAGATCCTATCCCTAGGATGGAATGGAAAAGTTTACGTTTTTTTTTTAATTTTTTGGATCAATATTTGTAATAAAATGTTTTTAAAAAAGTTCTATAAGGCTATAACATGTTATAAAAAAATTAAAGATAAAGATAATACATATATATATATTTCATTACCGAGTATGAGTTATAACTTTTTTTTAAATTAATTTTTAATATATAAAAATAAGCATATATTTTATCATTTAACTACATAAATCCAACTTTATTTACTTATGGTTTTTTTTTTATGTAAGCTTAAACTAATGTACTTTAATGTGATACACTAGTTGAATATTCCTTGAACCCTCCTAGTTGAATATTGTTAATATTTTTTTACTGACTAGAGCATGTTTCTTACAGATAAAAATAACATTGCACAAATGTGAAAATCGTTGGTGTTTTGAAAAAATTGAGATTTTCTTGTTGACATTTTTAATCTTTTTATAAAATTATGTTATTGTACTAAAATAAACTGGCTTTTCTGTTTCTTTTTCGTGTATTCTATATTTGCTGACTAGCTAAAAGTTTGATTATGTCCACTGTACAACGCAAGTAATGTAGAAAACTGAGCGGTATGCTAACTAATTGAAATTGATTCTATATATCTGCGTTGCTTGTTTTCATAAGAGCAAATCAAACTCAACTATTGAGTGTTCCTTTGTCTGAATTTAGAATGGAAAATAAATTCCGCAGTGTAATTGCTTGCCCACTTTTTGTCGGGGTTTGATGAAAAACATAATATTAATATTTTTATATTTACATTTATTAGATTTTTTTGATAAAATACTTTGGAGGATATTAGTATTGCGTTAATGATTAGAGTGATTTTAGATTTGTTTTTGGAAAATATTAAAAGAGTACAAATTGTTTCGTTTTATATCTTCATATTATATCTAAGCTGAGGCTGGACTAGCATGTTGCGCATCGGCTACCTCCTAAAAAGCGTGTCAGCTTTTAGCAGTCCATCTTGTATAAATGTTCTATATATATTTAATACGATTTTGCGGACCGAAAATAAAGCAAAACGCGGCAATCAAATTTACCGGGTTTAAATGTATAGTATAAAATATTTAAAAAAGAATATTTGTTTTTAGATTTGCTTGTCCAAGCTGTCTAGACATTATACAAACACGTTTTACAGTAATTTATAATCTTGTTTCTTTGTTTCGTTAGGTACTAATTATTGTTAGTACAGCTGTACTAGTGTTTTTAACCTAACTGTGTATTTGATTATCGTGTTACGCAAGCTACACGCTACCTTTGGAAATACAATTACATTTGTCTAGAACTCTAAAACAAATTTCGACAATTTTATACAAAAAAAATTGTGTCTATGGCTTTAGGTTAGATTTAGGGAGGTGATCAGTTTAACGCGTTTTAAGTATTTTTGGCTGTTGAGGTCAATTCAAAATTTGTGTGGCATGGTAACGTCGTGTCGATAGTAATAAATATTAAAAGAAGAATCTAAAAGAGAGGGTGGTAAGCGTTGAAGGGACAGAAAGTTTGATGACAACAAATCGTAAAAACCTATTGCAAAGTTCTTTCTTGTTTACTAAGGCTAATCTAAACAAAGTGGCCGGATTGAATAAGTGGATCCTAATAGGAACGGATGGCTTGGCCATGTCTGCACTTAAACGAACTTAATGCGTCACTTATACATTTACTAAATCGCCCGAGAAGCTAAAGGGGCGGTCGTACTATTAAACATTTTCACTCACAAATATGCAACGAGTAAGGAACGGTATTATAAATATAGTATTACCTTTCCTCCTAACCTAAACTTGAAACTTTGAAACTTCAAAAATAGTTATCTATAATTGCTTATTGACCAGTCAACATCTAAAGTACATTATTCTCAATTTAAAAAGTTAATGAAATGTAAGCGGTACCATTTAAGTTTGAAAAGTTCCTATCAAAAAAACTAAGTGTGGACGGGGTGAAAACAAAGAAAAATGAAGATCACATTGTAAAAAAACATTATGGAAAAAAAAATTGTAATTTCTTATTAAACCCTGTAAATTATCATGATTGTAAGTCAAGTGTATTGATGTGTGACGAGTGCCAATTTTTATGTTAATAATCAATCGTTCTCTTTTAGTGGCGCTAACTACACATTACAATTTTTACTTTAATAGATAATAAAAAAAAAATTGCTCTAATGCAATATAGTACTCTCTCTCTGGTTATTATAATTTGGTGGATTACATATATATATATATATATATATATATATTGTTATATATGTTATTATAGTTAATATATTAGCTTTTACTGGAAATGGTAAATTTTACACAAATTTAATTCTTGTTAGTGAGCCCAGAGTCATTAAATGAGAAACACGCTTCTCTTATCAGTGTGATATATGGTTATTTTTTTAGACAATTTTAATACATTTTTTGTTGTCATTTAATGTTATTTGTCCCGACGATTTAAGATAATAATATTATCTTAAATTGTACTCATCACAAGTGTACTATGGAAGTAGGCTGTAAAAACTAAATTTTTATGCGTACAAATTTTTACTGTCTTGATTTTTAAAAATCAAGCTAGTGTGGTAATTGACGTGAAAAAAGACGCAGTAGTTTTGGCTAAAGGTTGTGTTTTAAACACACGTTTACAAGCAAAACTTTGAAAAAAATTCATACGTCAATTGAACACTTGTTATGGCGACGTTTATGAAATATGATTATGATCATTTTTATTTTTATTTTTAGAGTACAGTAATTGTAAACAATTGTTTTTGCGAGCGACTCGTGATGGAATATTACTGTTTGAAACGCCAAAATTCGTATAACTGTTTTAAGAACGTATTTTATTTCAGCAAAATTATTCAACAAAAAACGGTCACCCAATATAATATAGTTACACATTATAATATAATTATCATTTATTTCCATACCAAGTCATAATATTATTTCCATAGAATAAAAATTTCAGCGATAAGTGGTCGCTCAATGTAAATAATTATTGTATCCCCCCTCCCCCTGAAAAAAATAAATTTTTACAATACAACTAGATAATAGTACTACACCTATATAATATAATAGTATTGAAACGCAATAGTCAAAATTGAGCAGGCATAATACGAATATATTATGTTTAATAATATGTATGATTTATCAATATCCAGTCTTGTTCAAGCTTATAGATAACGATTAAGCGCTTTAGCTTATGCTCTTAAAACAATTAAAATATACAATGGTCTATGCATGTATTAAGTTTTCTAGTCCAACGAGACTAAATTATAACCAGTAAGACCAAAAAAAAAGTATAAAATATTTATTTGTTGATAAATGGGACAAATTATTTTGTTGTATAATAATTCAACAAAATAAGTGTTAACTTTTTGTTTTACTTGTTCATCTGATAAATTTGCACATATTTTTCAACTTAAAATTAAGACGCTCTATAAAAATGTTTTGAAAATATTCGAATTAATCTTAATTTTGGATGGAATATTCTTCAGATAAAGTACCATCGATATACATTGAAAAAAAAATAAAACATCAAAAACCTCTTCCTCTAGAAAGGGTAGATAATATATTTTTTTTCACTTCGGCAGTACTCAAAGGTCTTGATTGTACTATGAGATTAATTCAGCAGTTAATAGGTATTTGAAAAAAAAAATGTTAACTAACAGACTACGGTCAACCTTAATCTTATCCACCTAATACTAAAAATACATTTTTAGCACATCATGTCGTTACAATGGTTTTATCGATATATGTATTTCTACCATTGCAGATTTGTATGGAAGAGTTTAGATGAAAATGATTTTTTTTTTAAACATATTTACTAAACATATTAATTGGCTGTAACAACTGTTTTGAACTCGATAAAAATTCGTTCAAACGGACTCGGTTTGAGTACAATTTTTTTTTAGTGTTTTGTCAAAGACATTATTATAGCAAAAGGACAACAAAGGTTGCAAAGGTACAACAATATTATATTCCAATCGTTTTACGTTCAAATATTATAATATACAATTCTAGTAAAAGATTTTTAAATATTTTACGTGGGACTAAACACAATAGTCAAACGCCTTCGACGTTAAATCGATTACGAAATTAATTTTATTATTTTTAAATTTTCCATTATTGATTCAGCTGTTGTTGGTTCGAAAGTCTAAACATTAGGCCTTTGTATGATTTTTTTTTTTAGCAATGCGAGTATCATTAAAACAAACATTATATATCAATTTCATAAGACACCGTATGATACATAAAATAAATATAAATCGGATTTACTTAATATAAGCACGTCGACAGGGCCAAAAAACGAACACACCCAAAAAGTCCGAAATTACAATAAGTACATGTTTACAAGCTAACTGAACTTTTTTCTTTTTTTTATCGAAAACGTTAAGCATCTTAGGTAAGTTTTACCACATGACTTGTATGAAATATACTAAGTTTTTATTATTGTGTTTAATGAATTATTTTTATTACTATAATTATTATTTTATTACTAATATTGTTATTATTATAACGTAAGTCGTATAATTTTTTTTATTTAATATGTTTCTTAGATGTGAACAGTCATTTTACACATTAAAAAATAAATTTTTAAGAAAATGGTTTTTCAATCAAGTCAATCTCTTTTTAAAACCTACGCAATCTAATTGTTCGGAAAAAAAACCACTCATTGTCAGTAAAAAAAAAAAAATGCCATAAACTTTTTTTTTTTATTTGCAATGTGTCGCGTGACTGTTAATAATATAATTGATTGAAACTTTTTGGATTTTTAGTCAAAGAATACAATTTGTATTTTATACGGACCCTTCTTACTATTTTTGATTTTACGGTTGAAGGCTATTCACTAGATTGTACTCGATTAGTAATTAGTTGTAAAATAAAAATGTTTAGTTGTTTTAAGTATAAACGTAGCGAGTAAACAACATGCATTGGGTAATTAAATAATATTACAAATTATTCAATAAGTAACTAACCAGCTATTCTGAAATATTTTCTTTCGCATCGTTCACAAAAGTTCCATTGCACATAACTATCAATCAACTCCGCAAAGACCATAAAGTCAGGGTGGTTAAATAAATTGCTACTCTGCATGTACTAGTTGCTACTAGAAAATCATTCAAATACCACTGAGTCCCAATTGAGTATTTAAACATTTCCTGGCAATCCTGCTCATCGCCTCACACGCCAATGGTGTACAGACTTGATACCATGTACATTAGGGTAGACCAAAAAAAATTTTGTTTTTTTTTTGTTCTTCTCTTGATATTATGTTCCTTGGATAAAATAATACTTCCCTATTTTTTTCAGATTTTTAAAATTATTTTTAGAGGTTGCGAGCATTAGTTTTCCAAAAAAATTGTTTTATTTAGTTTTTTAATTTTTTTATGTATATAAATATAAATTTTAAACAAATGTGGCTTGTATACAAAATCATAATTAGAAAAAGTGGAATAAACCAGTAATTTTTTTTTTACAAAAAAACTACTATCCAACTAATTTATGCCTTAGAATGTAATATTTGGGAAAATATTATTTTAATAATAGATCAGAAAAAAAATTAATTAAAAAAAAAAACAAAAACAAGTATTGAATATGTTTTTTTTTTTTATTATTATTACCCTCGGCTGCAAAGGCCATTATATTATATATATATTGATATAATAAATATATTTATAATATATAATAGCTGACCGCTGTGCAGTCATAATGCCAAAAGAGTTTATTATGAAATCTTGTTTTTTTGTTTTTATTTTTTTTAAATAATTTTTTTCCTGATCTTTTGTTAGAATAATGTTTTATGTTTTTGTGTATACAATTTATGCATTTCTATAAAAAGATTTTTTTTTATTTTACAAAATAATATTGTTTTTTGTTAATTACTTTTAAAACTATGAACTAAAAAAAAATATATGTTAAGATATGAGGTTAAGTAACAGTATTCAAAACTTGTTTTTTTTTTTTAATTAATTTTTTTTTTTTGATCAATTGTTAAAATAATGTGTTATTTAAGTATATCAGAATTCTTTGTAACTAAATGAGGAATAAGTTAAAAATATTTTATACCCCTAAAAAAATATTTTAGGGTACTATTAAGGGTATATATATATATATATATATATATATTAATGTTTTCGCAAATTTTACATTCTAAGGCATAAATTAGTTGGATAGCAGTTTTTTTTGTAAAAATAAAGATACTGGTTTATTCTTCTTTTTCTAATGATGATTTTGTATACAAGCTACATTTGTTTAAAATTTATATTTATATACATTAAAAACTAAAATTAAAAACTAAAAAAAAAAAAATTTTTTGGAAAACTGATGCTCGCCATCTAAAAATAATTTTAGCTATCTGAAAAAATAGGAAAATATTATTTTACCCCAAGGAACACAATGTCAAGAGAAGAACAAAAAAAAAAAAACAAAAAAATTGTTTTTTGGTCCACCCTAATGTACATCAACATTAAAACATAATACCGTCCGATTACTTATGTAGTTGCTAAAAGCATTTGTTCTTGGCTTTTTTTCTCTTTTAATTGTAAAGGCGCTTCTAATGTGAACATGCCTCTCACGCCAATCACTGGCATGTATCGTTATCGAATTAAATTTTTTGTGTAACACTGTCTTGATTGTAAATACTATTTTAGAGGTAATAACATATATTATTAAATTGAAAAACAAATTATCACAGTAAATGGTTTTTAATCACGATACGTTTGGTATTGGTACGAAATTAAAGGTCACGAAGCTACTGCGTGGTTAAAAACATATTGTATTTTCAGATTTTCTTATAAATAAAATATAACAGATTGACAACTTGTAACTAATCCAAATTGATTTTGATTTTTCAGATAAAAATGAAACTCGTCTGTGTTTTATTATTATTTGCATTTTTAAATGTTTCGGCATTACAACGAGGTAACTGACTCCGTTTTTAAAACACTTGAGTGTTTTTTTAGTAAAACTTACTCGGTTACTCTTTATGTTTTATATGATTGTTTTACTTTTTATTTTTTTTTTCGTTATCAACTGAGACAAATCGTTTTTTAATTATTTCATATATCCGACAATGGCTGTTTAATTACATTTTTATTTTTATTTTTTACAGAGAACATACATGATCTTAGAAATGATTACATGAGGGAAATATACTTTACAAGTGAGTACCCAAATAAATTGTCCATTAAATTTGCTTGAAAGTTGTTAAATACCGTTTTTACATTTGTTTATAATTTTAATTACAGACTACCAACTCGGACTATTAGACGAAAGTAAAATATTTGGCAAAATAAAAGAAATTTTAAAAATGTATATTTTTCCCGTTCTTTTTGATACTTTAATCTTTGTTTTACAATTGTAAATATACATACGAAACGCAATGTTCTTTAATTTTATAAGTAGTAGCGCAAACTAGTTAATTCCGTTTAGTCAAAAAGAACGTTCACAATATTCGGTAATATAACAACATAAGCACAGTGGGGTTTAAGTATCGAAACGATTGTTACGGACGATGCCCTTCATCTACACACACATCTATACATATACACATATACCACATACATTATGATGATGTTACACAGACAAATAGTATAGAATTGCACACTTATTATAATTGCCACAATTATACAAAGACGGAGGCGTGATTCATAGTCAACACAAAACGCACAAGTGTAATTGTCTGATCTCACACTATGATTAGATAAAGTGCAAATGGACATTTCGTATATAAAAACCACTGTGGTTTTTGTTCCGCTTAGATAAAGTTATTAGTAAAAATCATGTTATTGCCATTATCGTAAAACCCTCACGCAATTAAAAAAATATACGACGTGCGTGTCGCTGAAAGCGTCCGCTCATCATTATCTAAACCCACACGATTTGCACAACAACACATTACAAAATTATCATATCCATATAAAAAGGAGTAGTTAGCAGAGCTAGACCAGACAAATGACCACACTCAACAAGTATACACTCTTATGACAAGTGGTCATTTTTATGTTTAATACATTTTACAAGTGTTAATAAAATATTATATCTGAGATTATTCAGAAATCTCTACTTTATTTCTAAAAACCCATCTCCCTGCATTGATTTCAACGTCCGAACAGCAATTAAATATTCTTAATAGTCTGGTACCATTGATCGGGCTATTACACGATTGAGCAAAATTGGGCCTGGGAAATTAATCTTGAAATAATCTCTAAGCTACCAAAAAATTAGGATTTTTTAAAATTTTCGAATTTCGGAAATAGCGGAATATCTACTCTCCATAATGGTTTATGCGGTATTATTTAAATAACAAACATATTTGTAAAAGTCCTAATCGCTTTTGACCATTAATATTGAAGGAGTGGATTTTATTTTATTTTACTTTTTCGAGGATAGTTTTTGGTCTTACTAGGAAGCATTAGCAAATATCTTCAAAAAAAATCTGTGGATAAGGTTTTTATTACCGAAGAAAACCTAATATGTATATTACATTTTACCATCTATATGTAGGTATTCGGTGTGAATTTACAAATAGTAAAATAAATCATTTAATCGAAAATTATTTTGTCACTTTCCGTACTAATAAGATTAACTGTAACTCACCCGACTACATTTTTCTAGCTTTGTTATGATATTTATTTTATCTTATTAATATGGTACATTACACTATTTATACATAATATATAAATTAACAAAAGCGTGTTTTTCAAGGTCAATTGGACGAGTTAATCATACATTTATTAAATTCAAATTTACCAATTGGTAAGTGTATCTTGTATATTCAAAGCAACATTTTATTTATTAGTATAAACTTATTTGTACGCCCAAACTAAAATATACGTGTATACTTAATTTTTTAAATGAAATTTTCAATACTTGCCTTCTTCTAAATTTTCATTCATAGCACTCGGCCAAGAAATAACCGGTGTCTGCTACAATCTAGACTATTTGTTACATTCTCGAGTACAGCTCTACCAATATTGTTTTTGTTCAAGCTTTCAATACCATATCGATTAATAAATGTCATTAATTTCTGTTGCTTCTCGCTCGTACTAATTTTTCCATCGCCAGGTTAAAGACCACCGGAGAGATTAAATTTCCAAGGTTGTGATGCTATTATCTGTATCTGCTAACTAGACCTTAATCTCCGTTTGGGTAAGGGTGGATTTAATACGATTTTATTAGTTTTTTTAGGAATTTATATTCCTGTCGTAGGACTGGATATATTATTTTTGAGTTGATATTACTCATGGCTTGCCTGTCCTCATTATAATAATGTCGACTGTTATCTTGTTTACTAATACTGTATATACTATTTTATATACTGTTTTCATTTCAGATGCGATGGTTATATTGTTGGCTACACCAGGTAATAGTCCAATAATTATTGCCATAGAAACTATATTTTATGGAAGTGTTTGAACACATACGATTGATACTAACTAAAATTTTTAAAAAAAATTATTGAATTTTCAGACTATTGTGACGCACATTATAAAAGTAATGAATTTTAAAATTGATATTTATTATTTATAGTCAAGTAGAACTTATATACAATTTTTGTTTTATCTCTAACTAAAAATTATTAATTGAGTTAAATTACATTGGCCACCTCACTGAAGGTAAATAACCCAAACACACTTTTATGAAAGTCTTAGTAAACATACTAAATGTTTATGATCTGGTATAAAAATAACACTTATTGCTATATAAGAATAACTGAAATAGTTTTACAAAAATTGATTGTTAATTTTAAATAAGAAAGTATAGAACGCGTGATTGCCATACTAGGTAAAACGTTTTGCATAAATTAACCATATGACATTTATCGTGTTTTCAATTTCAGCTAGCGGAGATATCGAGAGAATATTTCGGGCTGTAATGAAAAAGAAATACGGTAAAAATGTGTACTAAATAAATAATTATAAGACCCCCATACATTAGATTGGTAACGTACTACCAAGATCCCCAGCAACTTAGATCTCCACTGTGATATAGACTTCAACAATGACAATACAGACAGCATAGAGTTGCAAGTGTTGTTGTAGGTGTTGACCTTCTACTGTTAAATATGATAACATACTTACACTCAAAGCTATATTTTTCATGGTTCCAATTATGATGCAACTTTTAGAGTGAAATGAGACTACACAAATCGCTGAATCTTTATACAGCATACAAATATTGATTACAAAAACGTTATTCCAACATTAATTGATCGAAGTTATAGATAGAAGCTAGTACATTAGGGTCAGCATGGGGAAGGTCACAGCTCAATAAGAATTTTTAAACTGAATGTGATAAAATAACTTTTGAATATGCGTTTCGATGCGTATCTGTACGAGATATATGTTTATAAGCTTTGTCAATAATGCGCTTAAAACTGTATTTTATTAATTATTAGAATCGTTACGGTTAGCGTTGATTGTCTGTCTACAAGATATGTATTGTCATAGTTACCCATATACCGTAAATATAACAACATAATGAAAGTTATATAAAATATTTTTCGTAAAACTATTGATTTAATTACACATAGCAACCTAGAAATTAACTACGGTCAAAGTGTAGTTTTCCCATTTTATTAAGTTTTTCTTTAATAAAAAAAAAGTTGACAACGGATTATGAGGAAACAGTATTTTTATAGCCTTACATTAGATCTATACTTAGTATAATTTTCAGACCTAAGGGCTTAAAACTGCTCGAAAATTGAAATTAAAGAAAACATTTCTACCCCTCATAGAGAAATGGGTTTGTGATATTTATAAATTCTTGATTTTAGAAAAATCAAGTAATTATCGTCGTTGAAATGAAACAAAAAATCGAGACTCAGTAACTTTAAGTGCGTGTAGTGAATAGGAAAAAAACTGAATGATACACACTAAAAATGAAACGTCTTAGCTTTAATATAACATAATATAAAGGTAATCTGATTTCATACCCATGCGGTATAATGATTTTGTTACTATCTTATAACGCTTAAATTATAAATGATAAAGAAAATAATAAAAACACATCATTGTAAAAAATAATAACTTCTCAGATACGCAGCGACGCTAATAACGTATTCTCCTTTGTGATTTATTGTTTAATTGAAATATCTCGTAATTTATTTGTGTTACAGCCGATGATATCCACAATCCTCCAACCGTGGACATAAGTAATATATAAATGATCAAAACAATTATAAAACGTTTGTCGAAAACCCTTCGATGCGAAATTCGTTATCATAGATACAGACGCATTTAAAAAATAACATTTAAAATCTCAAAAGATAACACATCGTAAACCAAAATCTTCTTAGCTCCGCATCGAAGCTCAAACGAAAAATTAACTTTGACAGTTTGTTTATATTAACTATCACTACTATTTAAATATGTTTATACTTACAGATTTGAATCAAATGGAATTATCAAATTTGGGGGAAGCTAGAAGGGATTTAATTTACCCATCTATAAACAATATACTCTTTGATGTCGAAAGTATGTATTTTCAATTACAAAATCAAGTATATAAAGGGCAGATCTAGAAACAAAAAAAGGCAGGGTAGAATTAAAATTCACTTTAAATACACATAAGCAATAAAGTTATTAATAAGTAGCATATATAGCTGTCAAGTAAACACAGTAAAAAAAAAATATATTCTAATATATCATAAATAGGTTTAAGTATAAAAAAGCTTCCCGTTAGCGTAACTAGAGAGGTCTGGGGAAGTTCTAAACTCGTCTATACTGCAAAAAATATCATCAAGCAATCAGACACAGATCCCAAATAAGGTTTATCATTTTCACTAAAAATCTTATGGAGCTTTTAGAGACCAAGATTTAGTTTCCATTTTTTTTTTATTAGATCCCATTGAGTTCAATTTAAAATATTAAAGCATCCAGTTTTTCTATTAAATTAATTTATAAAACATGTAATAGTGTGTATAAAATATGTTATAGTATATTGTATTATACTCATAAGTATTTATTTTAATCGAATAGACACATGTATTAGTTTCATATTTGTTGACTATTGTGATTTTTTACAATTTACTATTCGTCACGAGTTCAAAACTAGCTTAAAACAATGTTCCATACTGTTGTGTATAATAATTATTTTAATTTTTTGAAGAAGGAAGAATACAGCTCGACCACCCTAAGGTATGCAATCTAATAGCGTTGTTGGAAAGTTCAAGAGACCCTCGTCAACGAATAAAAGAAGCTATACCCGACATTGATATCTGTACAACTGTTCCTGTAGTTGGCAGAGTTTCAAATTATAAGCATTATGGCAATGGAATCCATAGATTAGACGCATTTGGGGAGAAAGGTGACAAACTTGGACTTGATCTAGTTTGAGCTAACCTACACAACTGTAGACGTTTAATTTGCATAAATCGGGTTTTAATTTATTTAATACACTAATACGTTAAATAAACTTTATTATCATAAGTCAATATATTATAATATCATCTAATTTTCATATGCACATCATGTACTAATTTTGTTATCTGTTATATTTCACAAATTATAATTAACAATTTTGCTGTATAAAAAATACAATGTTTTATCAATATGTTTTTTGGAAAACCCTTAGTCTGGTTCACATCTAACGGCGCTAACAATGTATTACTATATGGAGTCAATGAAAAGCCAAATATTATGCGGCAAGTCATGAATGTTTTCTTCATTGGTCCTGCAAAAATATTGTACGAAATACTAATACTAGCGAAAAAAAAAATGTTAAAACCGTATTTTACGTTTTCAAATAACTTGTGAATTATGTCTATTAAATTTAGATATATTGATTGTTTTATTGTTGATTGTTATCACTGACATATGATAAAAATGATTTGATAACATATTATGGTAAAATGTTTTGTACAATAGTATCATTTCTAGAATGTAGTCACACTGAATTGAGAAGGGTTTCGGTTTTTACCAAATGATGAAGTGCATCATCTGGTCCTGTGTAATATGTGGTACAACTCTGTTTGTAATGACCTAACTACTTTAGGTAAACATTTGTATTAAGGCCTAAAAGGAGCTTAAAATTACACCTAGCAACATCCAAAATTCGATATTTGATAAACACCAATAAACGCTTCTAAAAGTTGTCTGTTTTAAATCTTTTTGGACACCCTGCGAATGTATACAATTTTATATATATATATATTATATGTCTTTACGTGTATCATATCAACAAGATATTGCCGTCTTTCCATAGTAAGGATCTTTATCTAGTTAGTCATGCATCATCTTGGTGTTCAAAAATTTACTCCAGAAATGTGTAACTTAGCCCTGTGAATATAATATCCTGTTTCTTCATTCTCCATTCTTAGTTAAAATATCAAGTTTGTTTTTTCTTATAGCTGGTGGTCTTTTAAAACTGACCGTCACGCGTTACTCTTTTGTTACACTTAAATTGACCCGTTATTAAAAAAAATATCCGTTTGAGTACCAAGATCCTATGGGTATAGTGTGCTATACGTCTTATATCTGCATTAATTGACCACCCGTGTGTACAAACTTGAATGCATTGATCATTGGTTTTTTGGATTAAATATCTAAAAATTAATTTAAATTTCCTTCTTTCTTCCATAAGATATGTCCATGATCAATGAAAAACATTTCCTTCTACTAACAATTTTGTCGGTGTATTTTTGTGACTATTGTATTTTCTATCTATGCATGAGCGATTTGACTACTAACAAATGGTTGGTTATTTTTGTATGTTTTATAGGTAGGGAACTTAACTGAATCACTAAGTTCAGAGAAGGGATATGTCCAAAAATGTAAATTTTACAGGGCGCACAAAAAAAATATTTAAAATTAATCCGTAATACCTTACATTCTTTAAAATTCTTACAAGTTTTGTAATACCTTTCAGCAAAAATATATTGTTTTGGTTATTCATATTCTTTTTTGAATTCAACTTAATTTTTAAAAGATGATAGGGTAGGTAGGGTAGTATGACTGCTGACATAATGACCATAATATGTGACTACAGGGCGTGTCTTCTTTTGACACTAAACATGCCGTTTGGTGTTAGAAACTAAATTGTGTAATGTACAAAGCTATGCAACTAGTGTGTAGTGAGTACATTAAAGGTATTTACGGTAGCTAAAATTTGGTCTTGTGTAGGTAGACCTTACAAAAGTGATATACAATATATTTCATCATGTGTTTTGTTCATATTGAACGTGCCTGCAAGGTTATATTATCGTCAAGTTTAATGGTGAAGGGCATTTTAACAAATATTTAAATATATTTATTTTTATTTCTCGATTCAATCCTTTGTCTGGATTCAAACTTACCGATAAACTTGAGTGGCTATCACTCCAACTGGGCAGAGAATTAGCGCTCACAGCAAAATAGGGATACAGGTTAAATAGGACATGACCTATGATGGACCGAGTAAAAATTATCCGAAAAATAGTAATACTAATTTGAAAAGCTACAAACCACTACCTAACCAGACGGAGATAAATGGATGGAGTGCCGAATGACCTAGTTATAGATGATAAGTTATCTTTATTATTAAAAATCGTTACTTTTACTTGAATTTGTATAACTCGGTAAAAATATTTATGTATTTATTTAAATCAATACATATGAAAACAAACGTGATTATAATCGTTAACATTACTATTTATTATAAAATACACTAAACTAATTGACAACTTGGATATTAGTGTGATATGCAAATATTGTTTAAATAAAATTACAATCATACTATATAATTTTAGAAGTGTTACACCTTTGATTCCTCATTTAAATTATCATAATTGTTCTTTAAGTAATTTTATTTTATTCTTTATGTCATTTACGCTCACTTGCCACCATATTCCCTCGATTTCTCTGTATATTTTGTATGATGTAGTTCCATCCCTTAGCGAACATGTACTATTAGAGCCAGTCTGTATAATTTGTATGTATGATGTTGGGAATTTTGTACTCATGAACAATGCTATTAAACGACACATCCGTAATAAAGATGCTTCCTGTTCCCGATTATCTAAAAATTAAAACAATTTTTTTTAATTCTCCAAATTGAAGGGCTTTAAACAACAACCATATAAATCCACTTTTTTTAAAATTACATTTTATTATGGGAATAATATGACATGGAAAATTCAATATCAATGGGTGCATAAAACAGACAAATCCAATTATTATCTATTTAGTTATTACAGAAATGGGTTTATCTTATTTATGATTTTAGTGTTTCGATAGAATAAAATCATATGGACGATAAAGGGATTATTGAACGACTGCTTTGCATATTCAGAAGAACATGATGATTATCTCGATCCCGATTAAATAGCAAGTGAGAATATTTTGCATGAAAATACTTTTGACAGGTTTTTTGCATTAGTTTACTCTGAAGATGATGTTAGTGAGGTGGAAATAGCAATAAAACATTTGAAAAATGGGGAATGTGTGCAAGGCTCTATTAAAGATTTTCACATGGGTATTACATATTATATTTTAACAGCTTGCGTACGAGTCCGCAACACCATGGGTTACATTTTTATGTATCTAAGGTTTTCATAATATCTGGCCCAAAACAATTCACAGAGAATTGTTGAATTTATTATTCATTTCTATTTTGAATGTTGTGAATACAACATTAATGCTCTCACCCCCATACCCAACTCCAACCCCAACCCTCATCTGTCAACCCTATCTATCACCCCTATTTCTTACCCTCTATCTCTTACCCCTATCTCTTACCCCTATCTTCTTCCCTTATCTCTTTTATCAAATAAATCAGATGATTTTTTCGTTATGATAACCAGTGTCGGTGTCGATTTTTCCGGTTGTTTTACAAAGTAAAAACCATATATTTTATAAGAATGTTTTATTCTTAATAAATCACGCTGTAAATATTATATAGTTAGTAAAAAACAATTTCAGTTCTATATTAATACTTACTTACTGCACGGACGATTCTATTTGTTAAGGCTTCTGTAATACGAAGTCTTCTCTCTTCAATAAAATTGGTCAAATTATGAAATTCTGCAAACATTTATAAATAACCGTCTTGATTATTAATAATAAATAATAAAAAATAAAATATTATATTCGGGTTAGGGATAGTGAGGTCGGATTATATGATTGGGGCAGAGGAGGTCACATGAATTTATGTATTATTACAACTGAAAACGATAAAGTGACTTTTAAATAAACGCTTCAATAATAATCTGTAATTGTAGAAACACGAGTATCATACAATTTTAATATCTTAGTATTAGTATTAAATGATATTAATGTACTAAAAACTATATTTTCAGTATTAGAGTGAAGTGAGCGATTAAATATATATGATTACAAAACCTTTACAACTATAAGTTAATATTTACCTAACGCCTGCTTCAATATATTTTTTAAAGCCTTTCCAGTAAAACGTCTTCTCTCTTCTCCAAGTTGTGCCAAGTTTAAGTCTTCAAAATCAGCAAAAGTAACTAAACGATCGAGTAGATAACAAATAATAAAAATATATTATTAGTCTGTTATTTTAAATTTGTCCCCCCCGGTTTTTTACAAAACTGAGTTAACTCAGTCAAGAGTATCCACACTACAAGCGGATACATAGGCACATGTATAATATGCCTTGTTACCGAGTAAATATCCATTTAAGTATACCCACATTTCTAATTTTCAGAGCAGATTAAATTTAAAGAGTTCATTTTTTCAATGATACAATTGGTTTGATTTTTAATTTATAGCATGATATATTTGAATTTATTTTGTATTTTTTTCGATTGATAAATACATATTGTATTATTGTTAGTTTAGGTAACCCGATTATAGATATTATAGACTATTAATAACGATTGATAACTTGCTTAGCAACGGAAAAATCAGAATCGCCTGGACGATAAATAAACTATAATAATCATTACTTAGACGTCGACCCAAACGATTTTTTTTTCTTAATAAAGTTTAGTGATTTCTTTAATAATTATTTATTTATTTTTTTTTTTTTTAATGTGACTTTTCAAATAAATAAAAGCGACCGGTTATTTTTACTAAGACGCCAGAATTTCCGCAAGCGGCTGCTATCGAAAAATACCATTTGTCGACCAATTATTTAGATGTATGTTTTTATTATTATTATTATTGTTATCTCTAATCTATTACCTTTAATATCTTATCTTTTATTTCTTATCTCTATCTTATAAGATAATTATTTATCAGTTCTTTCAATCAAAAAACTAACACTAGATCACGTCACACGCACATATTTTCTATGGTTTCTACGGTAAGGTTCAGTTTGACGCACTCACAATTTTTCGTATTGACCCCAAGCCAATAGATAATTGCATTACGTTTCAAAGAACTATGATAATATAACTAATTTTTTCTACAACCAGTCATTAGTCATTGAAACTCAAACCATATATTATTTATATACTTGAAACTCAACGAGTTCATTACACGTTGACATTAATGTCAATTTTATGTTACCTAACGAAGAGCAAAACGATTCATGACATGACCTACAAATTAGATCGTCAACTACTAGAAAAAAACTACTCTCAACCGTCAACAAATACGTGAAAATTAATATTATTACTCTATCAATATCATGTATCGCCTACACAAAGAGAGTTACCGCTTTAATGGCTATTTACGACTGTCGAAAAATTCATAGTTACTTTGGTCTGGAACTTCTGGAACATCAATTTCTGTAACGAATACATCAAATACTCTATAATAAATAATACCAAGTTTTGATATTTTATTTATGACAATCACTTTAAAACTAAGAATAATAAGACCAATAATTGATTAACGCTAAATATTTTAAAAGAATTTAATTATTTCTCATAACAACATTTAAATTAACTGTTCAAATTATTATATTTAAAATAGTCATCAACCCCTTAAGCAAAATAACATGTGGCATTATAACTTTGAACTTTTTTTTCTATTAACTATTAACCCTTCACTGCATGAATTTTTTTTTAACCATATGCTATAAATGTACTTAATACTACTTAACAAAATTAAAATTAATTTTTTTTTAGTTTTGGTTTCACGGAAAACGATTATTAAAAAATTTGGAACATTATGAAACATTGTCCATACAAAGATGTATAGCATGAGCAATCCAGATATAAACAATAAATACAATTGTTCCATATATGGAACATTATGCAGTGAAGGGTTAACTATTTTTTTCGTTTTTCTTTGCACCTAAGGAAAAACTTTGCCTAAAAATGTTAAACTATATATATATTTACTTAATTGTAGTTTTATTTCTTCTTGCATAGCTTTTTGGAATTCTATACATTCTAAAATTTAAAGCAAAAAAAAATGTTTAATGTAGATATTTCTTATGATTTAAATATATATCTAATGAATATATGTGAAGTATTGTAAATATGAAATATAAAAATATGTTTACTATTTATGTTACTTAGGTATATATATTCTGAAATTAAAACAAATACGCTTTGTACTAAAATAATATCAAACAACTGGATAGACATATTTTCATATTTTTAAATGAAATTGTTACCCGGTACGACAATCATGTTATTCAGAGTTCCTAAAATTGAAATTACATAAAAATTATGATATTGGATTTAATTTTTTAATAAAAACAGGAAGTAGAAGGTCAAGGTACAAAAGTAGGTATATGTATTAGTAAGTCGGAAGAAATGTGCTAGATTCCATTTAGATTTTAGAGAAAAATTAAATATTTACACCACTTAAAAATCGTATAAAAAAGAATTTGAGTTTTTTATATAATTTTAAAATATATATATTTTTTAATTATGACTACCTAAAATACAAGTATCATAATCTTCATCATTAGCAGTTGTTTTAAGTACATGTTCCAATCCATCTAGAATACATAAATAAAGGTTCAGGATGTACAATTTTTTTAAGTTAGGTTGATTAGTCACTTCCTGAGACTAAGTGTGTTTTATACAAACTACAAAAAGTGCTACTTAAAGTATAAATAATTTAACTTTCATAAATAAAGTATTTTCACAGTTCAGAACACTTTATACCTCATGCACTTTTCTAAACACTAGAGAACACCAAGTTTTAAATCTAAAAATAACTTAACAATTAGCTAAATATAACAAAATAACTATACATGGCGTGTTCATTAGTTTTAAATAAATCTTACTTGCTATATAATTATTTTCTGCAATATAATTGTTCATATTATAAGCAAGCTCGATGTGTGCGTCTGTAATACATTATGTAAAAAATATTTGTATGAACAGTAAAATTTTAAAACCTATTTTTAATAAAAAAAAATTCTACAGACTTGTAAGAAAAACCTCCCTTTTATATTCCGCTGCAAAGAAAGTGAAAAATAGAATTTTTATAAATTATTACCTACCTCAAATAAATGAGAAAAAATGTTTAATACTTACTAAGTTCATCTGTCGAAACATTTACAAAGGTAAATGATATTAAAAAGCAAAAACGTAACATATTTATCTGTAATTAATAAGAAACATAAAATCAATGTATAATGGTCACATTCGCCATCAGAGATGAGGAAATTTCGGTATTACTAGGCTGTTTTTATTTGATAAAATTAATATTATTTTTACTACTTCAATGATATTTCCTAGAACCCTAAATTTATTTATTTTATAGCAAAGTAGAAATCGAACATGAAAGGTATTTACTGGGGCAAAAATAATAGTGAGTTGACATACACAAAAATAAAAAATTTGTAAAAATAATAATGGTTTAAAAACATTATTTAAAAAAATGTATTTATTTTAAAAATCTATTATAAATGCAGGGCAAAGGGGAAAAACGGTAGTTGTCACATTATGAAAATTTTAGAGTATGGCAAAAACAAAGTTCGTGAATTCCGCTCCCTCTTACATAATAACAAAACAATTCACATTAAATGCTATTCTAATGTATTTATTTAAACAATTTATTGACATAAATAAAAAAAATTAATGGCATAAATTAAAAAAAAAACCATTTAAAAAAAAAATGTTCATAATGTGACTACTACCCTTTTTCCCCTGTGCCCTTCAAATGCATATTTATAATTTTAATTTTACTTAATCTGTTATTTAAAAAGTTAAACACCTTAATCGTCGCAATGTACAGAACAATGACAAAACTGCAAAATTTGGTAAAGTTGACTAAATGCTTCAATGTGTTTAGATATAGCGACCGCATAAGGAAGAACAACGACGTAACTGCATTTGTAATAATTTCCCAAGAATTCCCATTTATATAAAATATTTTGATTCTTCTGTAAAATTTCAAGTATTGCAGTTGTGTCATTGTTCTACCGGTGCGGCGATATGTGTCTAAGACATAAGAAATAAATTAAAAATTTGTATCATAAATATGCAGTTAAAATACATATATTTTAAAGTATTCATATATATTATTTGATTAAAAACTTACTTTAAATACAATTTGAAGCTTAATACTATTACTTACTTGAATTATAGAATTGATAAGACTTTCAAAAAAAAGTTCAGTTCTGACTAACTGTTTTGAAGTGACTTCGTTGCGTTTTGTTTATGGACTTCGACCGAAACGGTAAAATCTAAATATATTTTGTTGAGTCTTTATTTTAATTCATTTACATAGCTGTTTTTTTTTTTTAATTATCGCATATTTATATTACACTGACATGGAATTACAAGAGATAATTTTCTTCTAATAATTTACATTAAAGAATTTTAAATATATTATTATTTTATCGATGAAAAAAAATCGCACATTGAAGGGCTGAATAATATTCGAAAGTCAGCTTTGAATATCAATGAACTTCATACTTTTAGATCACCCTATATATGTTTAGTGTACTGTATATTAATGTGTCTGGCTTGGTGATGGTTGATGTTGAACAATTTTTCTTGTGTACACAACTTTCAACACCTGAAATTTGTAAAATACTGTCGTGATATGTAAAAATAATATGGTATGTAAAAAATCGTATGCACTATACAAATAATTTAAAAAAAACCAATCGCTTGAGTTTTAAACGACACTTATACCGAATCAACTGAAAAATGTTAAATACTATAAGATTTTGAATAGTTAAGCTACGATTATTCTGTAATTATATTCCATGTAAAAATCCATATCAAAATCTTATTTGATATTCGTTTTATCTTAAATACAATATAACATTTTGTAAAAAATTCGTTTGCCATGATTTTGTATTAGGTAATTGTATATACTGTCGTCGTTTTACAAACAGATGACCGATTTATCTAAAACCAAGAATTTTTGTACAAAGAAAAATATCAACATTTTCATATACTATAGGTTACATGGGGCACCCACTAACTTAAAGTTACACCTTAAAATACATGAATGTAGAAATTTAAAACAAATTAAAATCTTCTTTAAAAATCAATGGATTTTATAGTTTTTGACCACCACATTCAGGATATTTTTTTAAAAGTGGTGCACTCTATATCCCATTAGGTTAAATAATGTTGTTATAAAATGTGCAATACAATATTTGAACTGTTATTTTGAAGAAGAACAGCTAAGACACATTTAAATTTAATTAATAGTTATAAAGTTATTAATGTATTATTTGTAGGTGATGAAGTATGAACAATTATACAACAAAGATGTTCGTTTTCGAACTCTCCGTTATTTTTGTGTTTTTCCATGTTTATCAATCGGATATTTTGCTTTTATTCAAAAATACCAGAAATTTAACATAACTTATTGCATTAGGGTTGTTCTTATTATTTTTTTTTTTTTTTATGATAACTGAAGATGGCACCCGCAAAAAGGTTACAAATTGTAAAAAAAAATACAATTCCACCGCAGTACTGATGATTTTTATATTTAAATTGTAAAATTTACACTATATCTCCTTAAAATAAAATTGAGATTAGGTTTTCAATATTTGTGAGGTATATTTTATAACGACATGACAAAGTCCTAGGTAAAGACATGGGCAAAAATATGAAGACAGAGGAAGAAAAATATAACTTCTATAAATTTAGAGGAAATTCGTTTATCACATAAGCAACAAATGTGATTATAATCTTGAGTAAAACTGTTTATTAAGAATTAAATTAATATGTAAAGTAACAACTTGGATATTAGTGCAAAATGTAAATATTATTTATGTAGTACAACAGCAGTACTATATAGCTGTAAAAGAGATACCCATTGGTTCATGGTCTAAATTATCTTAATGTATTGTTAATTGGTCAAAATTATCAATTGGTTCTTCCTCAAGTTGTAACCAATCGTCAGTACAGTTGCCGATGACTTGCCACCATTTTCCGATATATTTTTTGTATGTTTTTTTTGTAACCCCATCATACATGGTACACGTACCATCAGGCTCAATGCGAATATCCCTTTTATATGACAGTGGGAATTTTGTACTCATGAACACTGCTATCATGTAACACATATATGAATATGATTCTTCATCCTTATCAGACCCGACTAAAATAATAAAAAACTGTTTTTAATTTGCCAAACTAGTTACTACTTTTATTTATCATGGAAAACACAACTTCGTTACTTAAAAATAAGGGTCGCTCTCGTTTACATACATAAAATAAAAGACAAATAAATGTATAATTGGTTAAAACCTATACAGCTCTATGTTAAAATTTACCTATTGCCTTGTTCCAAATATTTGTTAAAGCTTTTCCAGTAAGTTTTCTTCTTTCATTTCCAAGGTCATCCAAATTTAATTCTTTAAAATCTGCAAGTTTATTAAAAGACCATGTTGATAAAAAAATAATAATTATTAATTATTAATAATAATAATTATTTTTTTTTAGCACCTATTTAATAAACTATTATTATTATTAATCTTGATTAAAAAAAAAAAAAAAAAAAACATGAATTGGTTGAATATACTATTTTTTAGAAACGCTGTATTCTGCTATGCATGATGTTTTTTTTTATCAACATTATATTTGAATAATAAAACAAGAATTTGTAAGCAAAATAATTCTTTTACAAACATGACGTTAGGTATGAAGCCCCACTATCTCTCTCTAGTTAAAAGTTTATTTTTTCAAAAATATTGTCTGACTTTTAATAATAAAAAAAAAAAGCGAATTTTAATTCTAAAAAGCCTTAAAGCCTGTTTAAGAATTTAAAAAAATTCGTAATTACTTTGGTTTGGAACTTTTGGAACATCAATTTCTGTAACAATTATATAAAATGTTAAATAACAATCACTGATAATCATAAGACTAAATAGTTTATGCAAAATATTGTAATAATATTAATTTATTTACTATAGCAACTTTTGAATTAACTGTTTAAACGATATTTCGAATGGTTAATATGGACTTATTCAATAAACATAAAGCGATAATAATATGATTGTATTTCTATTTAATTTTTATCGTTTTTCTTTAGAATTGAAGATTTTGATAAGGTTTGCATAAAAATGTTAAATTTTATATTTACTTAATTCATTTTGGATTTCTTCTCGCATAAATATTTGAATTTCCTTGCATACTGTAAATTTTTATATAATACATTTTAATTATTCATTTTTTTTTGTGATTCAAACCATAGTTCTCCAAAAATGTGCATAAATCATTAATTAGTGTAAAGATATAATATGGAATATATGGAACATAAATATGTGGTTACCCTCTATTTCGCTATGGTATGGATATTCTGAAATTAAAACGATACATTGTGTACTTAATGAATATCAAACATCTGTGTGAAAATATTTTCATAATATTTATTAAAAATTATTACCCGGTAAAGCGATCATATTAATCATCATCCCTAAAATTAAGATTTCATATATTAAGAATCTTGGATTATTTTTTTCTATTCTATTATAAACTGGAACAAGTTTTTTAATGTAGAAAAACATGTGTACTAGGAACTCGGAAGAAATCTCCTTGGCTCGATTATAATGGATAGATGAAAAATTTTGAAAATAAAACTGCTAAATTGAAAGAGATGTGACATTTAGAATAATATATAATTATTAGATTTGATTCACTGAGGTAATATTAAATTGTTCATAAAGGTTTCATTTAAATAATAGAAAAAACCTAATATTTATAGCACTGATAAATTTGAGTAGCATTTGTGATGCATTTTTAAGTTATTTTCAAATATTATTTTCCACTAGAAAGCATTATGTTTATTATTTTTATCATTATATAACTATTACTAATGGAGTAATATTCATTTTTATAAGCAATTATTTTCATTACAAAATCCATTGTATTTAATTTTCCACTAAAAACAAGAAGTTGAAAGACAATGTAAAAGAACAAGTGTATTAGTAACTCGGAAGAATTGTGCTTGATTGTTTTGAATATATTAGAAACTTTATAAAAATATAATAACCGAATTGAAGCAGATGTGGTTGCAATTTGGGTTGTATTTTTATTTAATTATTAATTATTTTTTTCTACTTTTAACTTAGTTTGTTTTTGTTTTTATATAATTTATTATAACTACCTAAAGTGTATTCATCATTCCCAATAATTTGTTCAATTACATGTTCCAATCCATCTGAAATAAACAAATAAAGAGTTGAGTTATTACAATAGTTTTGAACCAAATCAAAATAAATATATAAATCATCAGAATAAGCACTCGCTTACACCTTGCTTTAAGTTATGACTATTTAACTAATCTCTATGTCCCCTATTTGGATGATAAGTCACTGTCTAAAGCCAAGCGTATTAAATTATAGAAACCACTATTTTAAATATAAAAAAAATTATTTGATATTTACAAATTTAGCAAATCACACAGTGTTTAGTATATTCGTTCTTTATTATAGTTAGTGCATTTTCTGAACTGTTTATAGCAACCATCATTTTTAATTTCAAAATAACTCTACAACCACATAATATTATTAGCGTATTAATTTAATATATATCTTACTTGCTACAGAATTAACTTTTATAACCTCCTTTTTAAAGGCAAGCTTGATATGCTCGTCTGTAATACATTAAGCAAATTAAATGCATAAAAACAGTAAAATTTTAAATTTTAAAATGTTATTTTTATAAAATACAAATGTAACTGACTTGTAATGACAACATCCTGCTTATAATTGACTGTAAAAAAAAGTTAAAATTTGATTTTTTTTATACTGTCAACTACCACAAGTAAGTTAGTGTGGAAATAAAATAATTACTTATATCATAATATGTTGAAACATTTACAAAAGCCAATGAGATTAAAAGAAAGAAAAGTTTCATTTTTATCTGTAAATAATAATAAACATAAAAGCAATTTTCATTAGTCACAGTCACCAGAGTTGTGAAGGTATTAGTATTACAAGGCTGGTTTTTCATTTGACAAATGTATATTTATTCTTTTTGACAAAACCCAAGCTATTTCCTAGACGGCTAAATTGACTTCAAAATGGACATGTTTTTGGGCTGGGGGTCATTCAAAAATTATTATTAAATTCATGGTACGGTAAATGCAACGCATCTGGTCGCATCAATAAAATGCGACTACGTTGCTAAATGTGATAAAACACACTTTACAAACTTTATGACTAAAGGGTCAAAAGCGACATTATGCGGCAAAATATGATGGATCAAAATTTTAGATAGAGGGAATAAAAGTCAAAAGAAAGTACAGCGCATGAGCATAATATACCAGCCGTGATTCAGGTGGAATGTGGGTAGGCCGACTCACTGCCCAAATGCATAACTATGATTCAATTTTATTATTCGGTGGAGCCGAGAAATAGCTGATTTTTTTTATAAAGCAAGATAGAAATCGTTCTTGAACGGTAAATTACAGGGCTAAAATTATTATTGGCAAATCCTACTGAAGATGTATAAAATAGGTTGTCTGATGTATTTCAAAAGGAAATCGAAAATAGGTCTTTGTCGACCGTTTGAAATGTATCATTAAATATTTAGGTTACACTATTTCAAATACAAAATAGAGAATATTATTTTAAATAAATGTTTTAACGTTTTATTTAATATTTTCAAGAGAGTTAGCTTTTAAGAAGATATAGTATAGCGAATTTTCAAGCACATAAACTTTACTACGCATACTGACACATTATAGATTTAATGCAAACATGTATATGTTATAATCAAAATAGGATCATCTTTAAGACAGTATTTCATATTTGCTATAAAAAAAAAATCTTAAACATTAAGGTTAGTGTTATGAAATGTATGAAAACATAATTTCCAACGGCACATATTAAGTCAAACAGTGAATATGCGAATATTACAAAAAACAAATGTTGCTTTAAAACTATAATGGACTGTATAAAACTTAAGAGGGCGTCACACCAAAATTGAAACATATAAATAAGCTATGCTTTGGAAACAAATATAAGAAAAACGTAGTTAATTGACACTCTGAAAAAAATAACAAGAAATTGAATATATTAAATACTATATTGGATTTATTGCACAATAGTTTATGGCTTGAGTGGGACTAAGTAATTGCTTATGCCGCACTATTAACTTAATAGGTGGTATAATACCCTGTAATTATCATACAGTTCTCAAAAATTGAATTCATTTCATAAATCTTTATTAAATACCTATCTATGATTTTATTTTTTCCTAATTCATTATTAAAAGTAAAAAAAATAGTACTTAAACATAATATGTAATTAAGGCACACAAATAAAATACAATTCTGTATCTAGAATACGCGTTTAAAGTATTTTGGTTTTTAAATTTGCGAATATTTTACGATTAAAAGCGTAGGTACATGAATTCTTAAGATTATCAGTGTTACTTACCTTAATTATTAAGAGTGTTAAACTTTTAAGTTAATGCTCAGTTGTTTTAACTGTATTGATGTGAGTTTCTTGCCTGTTGTCTATGAACTTATTCCGACCGAAACAATAGAATCGAAATATATTTTGCAGTGTACCTTTGTTAGTTTACATAGCTGTTTTCTTTTTTTTTTTCAGTATGACTACATATTTACATTATACTGACGTGGAGCCATTTACTTGGTTATTTTCTTTTAACGTTTTGCATAGAATAATTTTCACTAAAATATTGTCGATGCCATTTTATCGATAAAAAATTCATCTCTATATATATATACTTCGAGAAACTCGATCAACAACGTTGCCAAAAGATACTTGATTTTGTTTGTATTTTGAGTTCGCAAAAATCGTTTATATGAATAATTTAATACTGAAAGGAATTTTAACCCAGTAATAGACAGTATAGTGGGGACGGGTAGGCCACAGTTCTACAGGAATTATTATAACTGTAACCGATAAAATCACTTTCAAATAATCCCTTTGATGCGAATCTGTGGAAACCGTACTTCACTTTTATACTTTCTTACTGTGCTGGTTTGTAGTATGGCCGGTTTGGACTGTACAAGTTTGAACTAACTATCCACAGATTGGCATCGAAACGTTCATTTGGAAGGGATTTTATCTACTGTCAGTTGTTATAATTCATGTAGACCTGTAACCTTTCCGTCCCCACTGTGCTGCATCTTTACTATTCCTCGACTCCAATATACTGTCTTTTTTTTTTTGTGAAGAAGTAAACGTTTCGTATTTTTACCAACCAAAGTACCAAATAGATGAAAATTTGTGATTTATAGGGTTGCTGTTTGAAAAAATTGGTTCAGTATATAAAATGTTACAGTGGATACAAAATTGAAAAATACACTACATTATTGTAAAACCAACAGCCCCTCAGCTCCGCATAGAAGCTAAAATTTAATTTTAAATGAAAATTTTTAAAATACTGACAATGTACATAGAAAGCATACATATACAGGGTGTACCACAAAGACTTGACAAATGAAATAACTTTTGTTCTAGTAAATATTTATAAGATTTTTTTTTACTTTAAACGTATAATAAAACGAGTGGTCGTCGTCATGCGAACGATTTGGCCAGAACATATAATTAAGACTATACTATCGTCATAAATCTCAAGGAGATTATAGCTCAGAAATAACCACCACTATTCAGGAGCCAGCAGGCTACAACATGTTCCATAGTTTATAGTTTTGGCCATTAGGCTTTAAGTAGACTGTAACTTTTTATTCTTTTGGTTACTTTCAATAGAGTAATGCGTGCAGAAAAAAATAACTCAACGCACTTACTCTACCGTACTTCACCTCCCATCCTATCCTTTAAACTTTAATAACTTTAAAAGGAATTATCCAAAACTAGTTGTCGATCAGTAAATATGTTCAGCAAATTATACCTAAAATAATGGCTATTTTAAGCTTAGTAAAATTAAAGTAACCAAAAGAATAAAACAAATTATTAAGAAAAGTAAAAGAATTAACAACAAACAGATGACAGTTTTATCCGAAACCAAGACTTTTTGACTACAAAAAATCCAGTATGAGTGTTACAAGTACGGGCGTGGTAAATGTTCTATTGGTACCATTTCGTTTTTTGTGTGAAAAACACAAAAACAAGTAGATTTTAGAACAACCATTATTATGATTTTTATTTTATTAAGGAAAACAAGTTAATATTATCATTTATCATATATCTGTTATATTTTTCTATTATTAATAATTATATTTTATCAATCTCCACTGATTGGTTTTTAGTTTAACTTTCAGCTTCGATGCGTCCCCACTATTATTGAAAATTAAAAAATCAATTATATATTATCAATTAATCATATTATCCGTTATTCTTGGTAAGGGCGAATCGTTAGCAAAACTGTTTACTATGAAATAACTTAACAAGAAGGATATTAGTCCAATATGTTAATAGATATAGATTAGGCATAAATTATTATTTTAATATAATAACAGTAGTACAGTGTAATTTAGAAGAATTATACATTTTATTCCTACTATTAGTTACAATAACTGTTTCTTAAGTAGTTGTACTTTATTATCATTGTCATTTACGCCTTCCACTTGCCACCATTCACCTTCAATTTCTCTATATATTTTGTCTCCTGTAATTCCATCCCCTATGATACAAGTATTATCAGACGCGGCAATAAGAGATTTTATATATGATGTTGGGAATTTTATACTCATGAACATTGCTATAAAACGACACATCGATATAGAAGAGGCATCAAATACAAATCTATCTAAAAATAAAAATAAAACATTATATATATATATTTAAAAATATATATAAATATATATATATATTTATATATTAAATTTACATTAGTACTTACCTACTACCCGGGTGATTCTATTTTTTGAAGATGCTGTACTACTTAGTTTTCTCTGTTCTAAAAGATTAGCCAAGTTGTCAATATCTGCCAAAATACAAAACAAACGTGTTGATGGTAAATAATAAAAATTCAAATTAAATTAGCTGCCCATGACACGATTGAAATAAATCCATATTTTAATGACGAAAATGGACAACAAGGGCTTGGGACGTGAACGGTCATAAACGCAAAGATTCGATCCGGATCTCTTATATTATAATATACCGAACAACATGAACCTGCATTACGTGTTGCCTATGAGTTAAGAATGAGCATTAAGCAATAGAAGAAAAAAAAATTATATAATTTCGATAATATTTACCTAACGCTTGGCTCATTAAACTTTTTAGAGCTTGTCCAGTAAAACGTCTTCTCTCTTCTCCAAGTTGTGTCAAATTTAATTTTTCAAAATCAGCAAAAGTAACTAAACGATCGAGTGGATTACAAACAATAAAAAAAATAATTAGGTGCTCGTGATAATTACACTACAAAGAACTATGATACAACTATTTGTTTGTACAACCAATCGTTAGTATTGTAACTCCAAGAATTTTTTATTTATATAATTATTAATTAACATTAAAAAAAACATCTGAATAATTATTTTATTATTCTGGCAATTATGACGTATCGTCTTCCCAATACTTTTACGGTTATTAAATAATCGATAGCATTATATGTATATTATAGTATATTTAATAACATAAACTGAAATTGAAAGTGTGAAAGTTTATTTGAAAGTGATTTAAGTGTAAATAATTATTTGAAAAGATCCATGCCCCCCATAAACTCCATTCTATTATGCCTTAAACCCCACGAGTTTTTATTACATAAAATGTATAGCCCAACTCAAAGCTATGCGATTTCAAAATTGTATACAATAAAAGTTAAATTAATAACAAATAAAAAATACAATTTTTAATTAATAAAGATTTTTTTTTTTTTTGAAAAAGGTAAAAATTGTTTTCCCCCCAACTAAAAGTTTATTTTATTAAAAATATTGCTATACATATAAGAAAACAAAGAAAATCAGGCCTTTAAGACTATTGGCGACTATCGAAAAATGTCTACATATTACTTTCGTCCGGAATTTCAGGAACATTAATTTCTGCAACAAATATATGATTAAATCATTATACAGTTAATAAAACAAGGTTTTAAGTGTTTTATCCATAATAGTCGTTCCAGACCGAGATTAATAATTACACCATTTTAATGTTGTAAAATGTTGTAGAAATATTTATTTATTTTTAATAGCATCAACGGTCATCAAAGCTTATGCGAAAAACAAAAAGCGATTTGACTAAAACTCAATATAATTTCCATCGTTATTTTTAGAACAAAGGAATTAGAGTTTTTGAAAATTGTTGGCTAAAACATGTTACATTTTATATTTACTTAATTGCATTTCTATTTCTCGTTGCATAGTTCTTTGGATTTCCATAGATACTGAAAATTTAAACTGAATTAATATTACCTATAATTGCACCCAACTGAAATATGAATGTATATACTTTTTTTTTCGCCTCTCCCAGCCGAACGTAATGGTTATCTAGGCAAGCGCTCCTACTTAACTCATTTTTTTTTTTTTTTAGTGTTTAACGGTGAGTTTTTTAAAAATATTTTCTAACAACCTTCAACAGTATACCCTTAACTTTAAAACGCCTGCACTCATTTATCAAACAACATTAAGAAAACGTATTAAATCTTGATTTTAAGTCTCTCATTTTAAAATACTGAAACCACAATCTTGTCATATCTACTAGAATCACTTATAACTAATACTTCTATGAACATAACTGTTAATCGCGAGACTTCTGATTAAATTACCAACTGCTGGAATTTTTTTCTTTGTTCTATACTAATGTAATTATTGTGATTTACGCCATTGTATATATTTAAGACTATATATACTATGTACTGATCAGTAGGCTGTTTGCTCGCGGCAATCCATAAACTGGGCAGCACGCCATCATTATTGTTTTATAAATAAAGGTTGTATCTCTCTTATTCTCAATACAAATAACCAATTATTGAGTGTAAAGTATTGCAAACGTGAGATATAAATATGTGGTTACCATTTATGGCGTCTTGATATAGATATTCTGAAATTAAAACGAAACATCGTGTACTTAACGGATATCAAACAACTGTATGGAAATAATTCCATTATATTCATTGAAAATATTACCCGGTACAGCGATCATATTATTCATCATTCCTGAAATTAACATTACATTTATTAATGATATCGGATTACATTTTTTTTTATTCTTTTATGAACAGGGAAACAAAGCTTAAGGTAGAAAAATCGTGTTTATTAGAATAGTATCGGGGAAAATGTGCTTGGCTCGTTTATAATATTAAATAGATGACAACTTTATAAAAATAGAAAAGTTGAATTGAAGCAGATTTGGTGGTTAGAAGAAAATATAATTTTTAGATGAGATGACAGAGCTAACAGATTCTTTTCATGTAGATTAAATTTAGATTATGGAGAATATCTAATATTTATATCACTGATCAATTTGCGTGGAGATGCATTTTTATATTATTTTTATCATTTTTCTCCCCTAGCTTTATCTTCATTTTTTTTTATTATTATACAATTATTACTACCGAAGTAATATCTATTTTCATAGACAATTGTTTTAATTACATGCTCCAATCCATCTAGAATAAACAAAAAAAGGGTTGAGTTATTATAAAAGATTCAAATAAAATCAAATTAGGTATATAAATCTTATTAGAATAAGACTGAACTATGCTTCAAACAGTGACAATTAAACTTAATGCTATTTCCTCTATTAGATTAAATAGTAGTTCCCTAAGATTGTGTGTACTTTTAACAAACTATAGGAACTGCTACTTTAAATATAAATAATTTGACCTTTTATGAATAAGGTATTAGTACAGTGTTCGTAACATTGGCTCTATGTACTCATGCACTTTTCTCAACAGTATGGAAAATTAAATTTGAATTCTACAAATAAATTAACGTTTAGCTAAGCATAACAAAATAACTATACATGACGTGTACATTAACTTTAAACAGATCTTACTTGTTATGTACATATTTTCTACAATACAATTGTTCATTCCGTAAGCGAGCTCGATGTGAGCGTCTGTAATACATTATGTACAAAGTATGTATGTAAACAGTGAAATTAAATAGCTATTTTTAATAAAATACTAATTTTACTAACTTGTAAGGAAAACTTCCATTTTATATGCCGCTGTAAAGAAAATGAAACATTAATTTTTTTTTTTTATATTTTCAACTACTTTAAGGTAGGTACGTGTGAAAATAAAATAATTACTCATATTATATGCTGAAACATTTACAAAGGCCAATGATGTTAAAAAACAAAATATTTTCATTTTTATCTGTAAATAATAATAAACATAAAAGCAATTTATATTAGTCACAGTCGCCTGACTAATTGTAAGTAAAAATATGGTGACGTACATTTTTACTGAAAAAAATAACTAGTCGATAACCAGTTTATAATAATAATTTTTGAATTAAATAATATGAATTTTTTTTATAAAACCATTATGGACTGATAAAAACATAATTTCAATAGCTGTGTTTTGGTCAAACAAATTTAGGAAGAATGATTGCTTAAAAATCTTGTTCTAAACGATGTTATGGACTGATAATAAAAGATTTCAATAAAAAATATTAAATGTTGTGTAAAAAGTTTTTCTACCCATCGTTTAGCTTGTTAATGGGGTTGAGTTACTCAGCCTTATTAATAAGCTGAAAGCTATTGTGTGATTAAACTAGGCGTGAACCGATATCCAACATGAATCATATTGTTAATAGATAATCGGGTTCTTCTTAAATATAGTTTTGATATTTCTTGAAAAAAGTAAATTGATATTGGTAATGATTTCATTTGCAATGGGTAAAGGAAAAAATCAATATCGGCTCTTTCCAATCGGACATCTTTAGTTTTATTGTAGTTACATTTAATGGAAATTGATAAAATACTCACCTAAATGATTGAAGAATTTCAATGATAACAAACAACTTGATCAGTTTTTTTAAACTAGCTGTTGATCGTCTTGTGACTTGTAGGTGGGCTTGTATTTCGGCCGAAAATAAAATATTAATTATGTTTTTGCAGAGTTTTTATGTGAATTTATTTACAAAGATGGTTGTCAATAATATGAATTACCGTGTATATAATATAATTCATAGCTGAGTTTAGACTATCATAGGTATTTTATATTATTGGTATTAAAATGATTCATACATACAGAGTGATTCAACTAACGTAAGACACCCATTTTCTCGGAAAATATGATTATTTTGAAAATTATTTTTTTCCCTATTCTTTTTGGTATAAGTTTTACTATGTTTTTCAATACTTTGAACATTTTTATCTCCATCCCTTGTACGATAAAAAGGGTGTAAAATTACGTTTTTAAATGGCAACATATCGCTATAGAATAGCTATTTAATCACAACAATCAAAAACCGTGGTACAAGTAAGTTGATAACAGCTGTTATGATGATAATGTTCGTACATAATATTATTGCCTTTAATCTAGTTATCATATTTTTCTACTATCTATGTTCTACATACAATAGCTTTAAAATGTGGCTTACAATCTCATAAGTGCATACATTTGAATGGACAACCGTCGCGAACCGTTATTATTATTTGTTTAGTTGTGTACCATTTGTTCAAAAAATGTTACTCTGTGCTACAATAATTGTTTTAAACAATTTACACTAATTAAGGAATTTAGGACCGTAACAGTATTGTTAAAAACGTAAATGTAACAGGCAACAGCCGACAGCTAGTGGCTATAAACGTTAGTGATGTTTAACTAATAAGTAAAGTACTTTGCTCTAATGGGAGTATACTGTATATAATACATAAATATTATTTTTATTGAGTATAAGCGATTATAATTTAAATTATAGAGTACAAACGATTTAAACATGAATCATCGACCATTCCAACTAAATTTAACAAGACATTAATTATGTGTTATTTCATATTTGAACAACATAATTTTTGCAAAAAAAAATACTTATAAAAAGTATTAAATTGTAGTGCTGTATTTACAAATAAGCATCAAAGCGTTAATTTGAAAGTTATTTTATCCAGTATACATACAGTAGAGTATAGGCATAATGGAATGAAAGCATAAAGGCTACGGAGAGAACACAAGTATACAGGAATTGTTATAACTAAAAGTCATATAAATAAAAGATAAAATTGAATAAAATCCCTTTCAAATAAACACTTCAATGCTTATTTCTAAACACAGCACTTCAATTTAATACTTTATAACTTTGCTGACTTAACTGTGCTTGGTTAGAACTGCACTGGCTTGAAAATATTAACTACTGATTTGCATCGAAGCGTTTATTCGAATGTGATTTTATCACTTTCAGATTTAATAAATCCCGTAAACCTGTGACCTCCCCGTCCCCACTGTACTGGTTTTTTTTTTAACGCTTTAAAGTGATCTGTAAAATATAGTAAAAATATTAAGTATCTGTAACACACATATTATGTTATTATAACAGTGAGTAAAGCTGTTTATTGTAAATTACATAAAATTGTATATAAACAACTTAGATATAAGTGCAAAATAAAAATATTATTTAAATAATACAAAAATAGTACATAATCATTGTAAAAGTGTTACACTGGTTCTGGAACGAGTTCTACACAAGTGTCAACGTCATTCCCTTAGACTCGCCACCATCTGCCCTCAAATTTTCTGTATCTTGTGCTTCCCAACCACCTACTAGATATGGTACACAAAGTCCCAGACTCAACAACATCTTGTGTGAAAAATTGAGGGTATTTTGTACTCATGAACAATGCTATGAAACGACACGTCCAATTTGTACTAAATACATTTCCAGCTAAAAAATTAATTAACACATAACTATGTTACTTGAAAATAAAACTACAATACAAAGTGCTTGGTATCATTTTTGAGCAGCTTTTTTCATTATAAGGAAGTATGTTTTAGTTTTGACTATATATTAAGATTGTACAAATGCATATTCTATTTATCACATATTGTGTTAATTGTTAACATGTTTAATTAATTGTATCCTTGATATATTGTTATGAACTGACGTTAAAACGCATCTCACAAGCCCATAAAATAAATTTAAATCATAATGTTATAAAGAACTATACGGGGTGTTTTTATTATTATTAAGAGTCAAGTCAAATTCTATTACACACGTATTATAAAATGTGTGTGTGTTATTTTATTTGAATACAGTGAAAAAAATAAATTTGCATGTTAAAGTAATATAAATAAATTTATTTTTGAGTTATTTATGTCCATAAAATATATGTTTGAGTAATAATTTATATATTGTGTAAACGGACATTGTGTACCTACAATAATACTTAAGATTTTCCATATGGTGTAAAATACATGGGAGATAGTCTAGAAAAAGAGGTGTAGGAACAAAGCTGTCTTTGTATAGTAACACAAGTGCAGTTTTGTTGTAGAATATAAAAAGCATTTGTGTTAAGGGGTTGGGGCTCATTCTAAATGTTCTGTAATCCTAGTTTATTGTGATTACGATATACTCTTTATATATATTAGTATTATTTATGTGTCTATTGACTCTATATTAATATTTACCTATCGCCCTGTTCCACATACGTTTTAAAGGTTCCAAAATAATACGTCTTCTTCGTGTTGCTAGATCTACCAAAGTATATGCTTCAAAATCTGCAAATTTATTAAATGACCATGTTGTTATATGTATATATAACATTTTTACTATATAATACTTTAAAAATAGTAGTCATTCAAATAAGATTTTCCCAATTGTTATACATACAAAATAATAAATAATCAAATTATTTTAGCATAAGCGAACTGTTTTTATTTCATCATCACATTCTCAATTCAAAAAAGTTGGCTGGGTGTGAATTTTATTCGTTTGTCCTCTTCCTCTCCTTCCTTCTACATGCATTACTGTTTTTACTATTTTCGATTCTTGTCTCCTCCTTAAGCATTCTCATCTCCACTACACTAATTTTCTATTCTATTTTCCTATCCCTTACAAATCTATGCCACAAGATTGTGAGGGATTGGTCAATAACTTTTTTTTCGTTTTACATCAGTTGAACACCGTTATAGAAGCCAAAAGTTTACAAATAAAAACAAAAGAAACCGAGCTTCACTAAGGTTTGTCATCCAATGGCATAATAGGCTTGCAAAATAAATGTTTTAAATGAAACTTAAGTCTGTAAGGACTGTACAACACAGTCAGTCTCAATACACTTTTGTAAAAGTTATCGTTAAGTTTAATTAGAATTATCTTGTCACATAAAACACCTGATGAGAATCTATCCAATAGATCCAATTACACTTAATCCTATATTTTACATCTTCACTACTCTCACTTTCTTTTTTAGAAATGATCTTAAATACATATATAAACAACCTCACCTACTACGTTATCATTTATTACAATTGTTTGCAAGTTGTTCGACTAAATTGCATTTAAATCATTTTTAAAATAGATAGTTATTTCAATACATTTTTATTCGATTAAGGTAAATAAAATACATTTTGTAAAAAGTAAATATCAGAAATTTGGAACTCTTATGGAATATTTAACATATTTAGAAATCTTTATCCAAATAACAAATTGTGTTAATAAATAATTTGCAATTAGACATACCTTAATGCAAAAAATATGTAAACTACGGAATCATAGTCGTATTAAATATTATTTAAAAAAACATAAATTGGTTGAGTATTCTATTCTTAGAGACACTTTATTCTGCTGCGCACGCTACATTTTATTATTGGCTTGAAATTTGAGCATTAAAAGATAAAGAATTTTTAAAGCAAAGTGTATTTACTAACATAACGTTCAAAGCGTCTCTATCTTAACTAAAAGTTTCTTTAATTGAAATTATTTTTTACTTTTGATATAAAAAAAAAATAAAGCAAATCTCTTTTCTGAAGAACTCTTAAAGGCTGTTTACGATTATCAAAAATGTGTAATTACTTGGATCTGGAACTTCAGTATAACGAACATCTGTAACAGGTATATCAAGTGTCATTTTCTTACACAGTTAATAAAAATTGTTTATATATATTAACAATACAGGCACTCTTAAACTATAATTAATTAGATCGATAAATTAATACAAAATATAGTATTCATGTTAAATAATATTTCGAATGGTTAACAGAGGCTCATTCAATAAACATAAAGTGAAAATATGAAGTAATATTTTGAAAATATTCGGTTGTTGGAAAAATTATTGGATATGTAACAGTATTAAATGTTTAAATGTACCTAGGTGATTAGATATTTGGCTTCTTAAAGCTTCTTGGATATCCTTGCAAACTGTAAAATAAATTGTAATTATTTATTTCTTGTGATTGAAACCAATATGTATAAATGTATGTATATTGTGTGCATATTATAATAATCCTCCGTAATATGTATAGAATATTATGAACGTGTTAAACTACTGTATATAAGGAATATAAATGTGTAGTTACAATTTCAGTCTCTATGGTAATGAAAGTCTGAAAATAAAACAAGTACGTTGTGTACTCAATGTCTATAAAACAACTGTACAGAATTAATTCTTTAAAAATATTACCCGGTACAGCGAACATATTATTCATCATTTCTAAAATTAACATTTCATATATTAATATTTATCTATTTAATTTTATATTCTATAATAAACTAAAAGAAGAATTGTAAGGTAGGAAAAACATTTGTATTAGTAACGTGGAAGAAATCTCCTTAGCACGATTATTTTTAATAGAAATAGAGACCATATGAAAATATAATGGCCAAATCGAAGTAGTTGTGGCAATAGAATGAAATATAACTATTAAACGAAATTGACAGCAACAGAGAAAATTATATAATTTAAATCTCTTATAAATTTGCATTATGATGTTGAATTTAAGTTGCAAATTTTATATAATTATAAAATGTTTTTAACTACTTATTTTTTTTTATTATTATTTAGTTATAACTACCTAAAGTAAAAGAATTGTTCTCAACAATTTTCTCAATTACATACTCCAATCCATCTAAATGAAACAAAAAAATGTTTAAACAAAATCAAAAT